TGGTTATAAAAGATGTTGGTTTCTGGCCTCTAGGGGGAAGAGGGATGGTCATTCACCAAGGAGGAATATAGCTAGTACTTGTGTAGAAGGAACAGCAGACTATTTGAAGGGAAGGTTTTACAACCCATTAATCTGATCTCTTCATGTCAGAAAAGAGTACTGAGAAAATGAACAACATTGTTTTCTGATGCCACAAGATTAATTATGTTTTTATAGCAAAAATCCATGATTAAAGGCCATCATTAAGTGTGTCATTGTGAGACTGAAGATCTTTGCTGGAAAGATTATGTGAGGCACGTTGGCTGTCCATGATTACAGAGAATAGAAGACATTCTATTCCCCATGTGAGCAATTTAATTCCTTTATCCATTGAAGAAGGATAGTAGTTCCCAGCAGGCAGTGAATGGTAAGGGAAAATAAACCCTGCCAGGTATCATCCCTTCCTCCTAAAGAACTGGTTTGGAGAAAGTATGTATTACTCTATCAAGAGGAGGAAGCAAGTCATATATTCCCTAAAACCCAGAAACTAAGAAGTGATAGTACAAATGCAATGAGGAAAAGCCAGAGCCCACAGCTTCCTGTACCTTGGTCCTGAGATGGGAGAAGAGACCCACTCTGATTACCTCACTGAAGCAGAGAAAAATGCCAGTTTAGGGATCACAGTCTCAAAGGAAAACAGCTATTGCTAATTCTTTTTGAGGAACTGAAAAGCCTCTCACTTAGAACCATTGACTTAGAGCTGAAAAGGACCTTAGAGGTCATTTAATTTATACGCCTCATTTTATAGATTATGAAGCTGATGCCCAAATAGGGAATATGACTTGCCCAAAGTCAATCAACAGTAAGCGACAGAGTTGGGTTTTTAACTGCGATCTTTGATCAACCCAGCTTTCATTCATTCCATTGTACCATACTGCCTCCCAAATAGATTTGTAGGTGTCTATCATCCCTTGAAATGAGTCCTCCATTTTTCACAAAGATAATGGACAGGCCCCTTGCACTTCCCTGAATTCACAGGTGGCCACTAGTATATATTCCAGATCCAGCTGGCTAGAAGACTTCTGACCACAGCTCTCATATACTCCTTAAAACCATCTGGTCGATCTTTCTTTTATCACTTTCAGTCTAGATGTGGAAATTTTTTTTTCCAGAATTTTAAAAGCACTTTGGAGTTTCAGCTTCTTCCAGATACAGAAGCTCTCTCCACATCTAGCAGCTCAAATCTCCATCCTGGTTTCCTGTTTTGTTTTGGTTTTTCTTTTTTTTTTTCTTATGTGAGGCAGAATTCATGAATGCCTGCCACCTCTTTAGGATAGACTAGAGTTGGTTATGTCTAGCTCTCAATCTGTGTTGCTAGTGCTCTGATGTGTGTTATGTGAATTGTGTCTCTTTTTGGAAACACCATATTTTAAATCATGATAGTTGCTATAACTGACCCGGGGAGTGAGACTGTTGTAGCCAAAAAAAAATTTAAATAAAGATACTAGTTCCTTTTCATTATCCCCATTTATAGCTTATCATAATGAACAGCTGTGCCCATCACTATAGTCAGGGAGGATGATTTAAAAATCAAAATTGTCTATGTTGTGCTTAATGATTGCAACTGAATTGAATTGTGAGTTCTGCCATAATAAAGAAAGCCAGGATATTCTGCAAGAAAAGTCAGTGACTTCTAGTGGTTAATAAAACCACGCCACCTCTCCCCCCTCATCCTCTCATTGATTTTTTTTAAAGTCTACTTTTCAAACTGATCATTTCCATTAATAGTGCTCATTTTAAATTCGCTTATTCATATATACCTAGCCATAGGCTCAGTTCTAGAGTTGGATAGGATCATAGAGGTCATCTAATCTAAACTCCTCATTTTTACCAGTCTTGTCCATCTCTTAGTCTTCTCCTTACTCCTCCCAACAACAGTATGATCATTATATGAAGTCAAACTGAGATTATTAGCACATGGGCTGTTCCTTCCCTTACAGCATTTTCACTGTCACAGCAATACAGGCTTACAACATGCTGCTTCAGATACATCACTGAGATGAATCAGAACTATAAACCACACTTTCATTTTCAACCAAAAAGAAAAGAAGTGAAGGGGAGCGGAAGATTTAAAGCACCACTTCTAATGTATGTTCTTATAGTGAAGAGGAATCAAATAACTGAGCCTTTTGGTTTTGTTTTTTGTTTTTGATGGTTGGCTACTATATTTCATACATGTGTAGGTGAAAATATATTCCCATTCATCCAACCCACACCTTCTATACATTCTGTATGTTCTAATAGGTGATTCTAAAAAGTAGTTTCCCTCCTACCTACCTTCCTCTTTGCTTCTTCAATGAAATCACAATGTAGCAGTTTCCTGGTGGTCTTTATGTAACTTGTATCACAGAACCAGACACATTAAGAGACCCTCCTGCTAAGAGAGAAACATGGACGTTAGAGGATTTTCCAACAGGGTTTTTTGGCTGCTTTCACAGATTATTTTTCTTTCTCAAGTAAGTTCTTCTTTGATGTGAGTAACTTTCAGGCTGATGATATTTCCACACCTTTTCGCCGTTTCTCAAATTACCTTACCCATTTTATTCCCAAACTGAGACCACATCAAAGGATTAGTGGAAAGTAAATGATATAGTAATTTATTCAAGTTGATTTATTTCAATATCACTTAGTATCTCCTTAAAACTAGGGTGAAATTCCTCAACATCTCTCCAATAATCAAAGTCCAAATTTGTGTTAAGTCTAGTTCTTATGAAATGTCTTACATATTTGTAAATGTGCCATAGTGTTGAAAAATGCACTTTGCTTAGTTAACATACTTATATAATAAGTCTGGGGAGAAAATTTGAATGCAGGGTACATAACTAACCAAAATAGTAATGTATGTCAGCCTCAAAATGAATATTGGGTGGTGGTTGTTTTTTTTTAAACCTCTCAGTGATTAAATTAACATCAACTCTAGGAACATTAGTGATGGTTAGAATTTATACCAGGTATAAACATTTATCCCCATACTGGTAATTGACCAGGAGAGGGGGGGCAGGCCTAAATGTCATAATGTATCTTGATTGTCACCTTATGTGACACTAGTCCTATGTCACTATATTTGCTTTCAAATCACTTGTAATGGTTTCAAAACATCGAATCTACCCTGAAAGAACAGAGATTTGCCACTGTTGGGGATTTGCTTCAGGCTCCAATGATAACTGCAGAAGAGGAAATCCAAAAATGTTTTGATCAATGAAGAATAATTGAAATAAATGCATAGTTTTCCAAGTCTTCTACTTTGAAGGGAGAGGAAATTAATTTGCCTTTTAAGTTCTGGCATTCTTATTTTTGAAACTCAATCTCATTCCATAATTGTCCTACCTTGTCCATAATTATTACAGTAAAATTGAAAATAGAATGGTAATGTCATTGAGTTTATAAATTGTTGGATATAGGTTTAAATTTGGAGAACAACTGGTATAGAATCCATTCAAGTAAACAACATCTGCCAGACCACTTATTATATTTAAATACCTACCAAACGTGTCAGAAAGATTCACTAGCAATTTGCTAATTAGCTACCCATTTAATGTGGCACATTTTTAGTCTCATTTTAATATCCTTTTCAGTACCTAACAGGGCTCTTCATTTTCAACAAGTAAATTCCCTACCTTCCAAGCTAGGCAAGGTGCTGCAGAAGCAAGGGTAAATTTTATCTATGTAAGTTGATCTTATATGGCAACAACTTGAAGTCGGCTCCAGCCAGATGGATTTATCATTATCCTGTGAACAGACCAAATCCATTTCTGCTTCATTCTTTCTTTAAATTGCTACATCTTCATAGAATTGCCCTTACCTCTCTTAGCCTATTAGTATCCTACCCAGTGTTTGCCAAGAAGCTAAAATCTTCCCAATTCCTGTACATGTTGATGTCTCCCTCTTGGTACCCTTGTAATCTGTACCATTTTCGAAGATTAATCATAACATTGCCTTGCATATTTATTAATTTTTCATGGCTCCCTATTTTTTCTCCAACAAGCTCACTTTAAAGGCAATAACCATGTCTTCTACTCTTTTTCTCCATTCCTATAGCATCTGTCACGTAGTGAGTGCTTAGTAACACTAGTTGGGTTAAGTAAAGAGGCACAAATGTATTTTAAAATAATGAACTAAAGGGGCAGCTAGTGGTGCAGTGGATAGCATACCGACCCTGGAGTCAAAAGGACCAGAGTTCAAATCCAGCCTCAGACACATAACACTTACTAACTGTGTGATTCTGGGCAAGTCACTTAAGCCCAATTGCCTTGCCAAAAAATAAATAAATAAAATAATGGACTGAAATGTTTTCCGTCAAATTTCATTCCTATACCTCATAATGGAGTAGAAACAATGGGGCATCTTTGAAATCTCTTCCCACAGAAACATCAGTTCTTGCTGATCCTATCAAACTAAAAAGCTTCAAGTATAAGTACAGAAACATCTATTATCCAAGATCCAGTTTAACTAAATTCAGCAAAGTACATCCTTTTTTCTTCATGAAAACAATCTACTCACATGTGAAAGGATGGATAGATGTGAAGTATTGAGGTATACAAAGTAATGAGATCTGGAGAGCACGTTTTAATCCGTGGAATTACCTATATCAGACTAGTTGTCTGTAAAATATAGTAAAATTATTATTCCTGTCATTAGCAATCTCAGAAAAACTAAGCTGTTCCTTCCACTTTTCTCCCTGCTTTTTAAAACCTAAATTTTCAACCTTAAGAAATCAAATACCAAGCTAAACAAATAGATTGCATCAGCCAGTTTCACGCTAAGCCCAGTTGCTGATTAGGATTCCTTAATTCCCAAGCCCTGTTCAGGAACATAATACTGAAACTCTTTTTTCACTGCCTGACTCTTTCCAGTATTGTTGTTTTGCAAGAAACTGACTTCCCCTAAAGACATCAAAGGAGGAACTACTAAGAAGTGACCTGGTTCCAACATTTCTCCTTTTTTGTTTTTCTTTTTATTAGGAGTTTCCTTCAATAGTGTTTACACACAAATTTGGAGAGTCCTACTACATTTGGCTGCTGACCCATATCCAGATGTTTCAGATTTGGCTATGAAAGTGCTCAACAGCATCGCCTATAAGGTAGGCCCAGTGGTCCCAGAATTACTTTTACTGAAAGTCTTGAATTCTGTTCTTCATATTTGTATATATGTTTAATTAAGAGACTTGAGACCTAGACAAAATTAGTAGTGATCTATGGGTAAAAATCCCAGCTCAGACATTATGAATCCAAAGACTTATTGTTGCACTTTGCTTTTTGTACACTTTCCTAGTATTGTTTCCCAGTGACTCATTGCCAGTATTTCTTTCCCTCTCCCAAACACCTCTTCCCACCAAACTGAGAACCCTTCCTTATAAGAGACACAATCACTCATTGGCCATGTCTAACAGAAGCAAGAGATGTAATTTGAACTTCTTTTTGAACCAGATTGATTTTCCATAAACAAACTTTATTTTGATCCAAATTAGAAAAATAAGTAACTAATCAGTTAGATGGTCAACAAACATTTTTAAACCAGTAGTATGGACCAGACACTGTGCTAACTGCTGGCAGTATAAAGAAAGAAAAAAACACCGTCCCTGCTCCCAGAGAGGCTTCACATTCTAATGAGAAAAACTATATACAAATAACTATGGACCTACAAGATCAATGCATTGTAAATGGGGAGAAAGCAGAAGAGAAGAACCAAGGAAAGGACTCCTGCAGTAGGTTGATTTTGAACTGAGTCTTGAAAAATGCCTGGGCAGCCAGGCGGTGAAGTAAGAACGGAGAGCATTCAAACATGGGAGACAACCAGTGAAAATGGAAGGAGTTGGGAAATGGAGGGTCTTATATGTGGAACAGCAGGTAGGACAGGGTACCTGGATCTTAGAGTACGTATTGAGGAGTATAGCAAAAGAAAAGTTAGAAAATTAGGAAGGGGCCAGCCTGTACATAGCTTGAAATAACAGATAATAGATTTTTTTTAATTGATCTGATAGGTAATAGGGAGTCACTACAGTTTTTTGAAGGGTTGGGGTAGAGGGAGTAACATAGTCAGACCTGTGCTTTAGGAAAATCACTTTGGCACTTGAATGGAGGATAGATTGTAGTGGGGAGAGAGTTGAGGCAAGGAGAACAATTAGAAAGCTATGAAAATGGTCTAGTTGAGAGGTAATAAGGGCCTGAACTAAGGTAGTAGTTGTGTGTATAAAGAGGAGATGTATATGAGAGAAGTGAAGGTATAAGCAAGATTTAGTAACACATTAGCCATGTGGGATGAGTTGAAGTGAGGAGTTAATAATGACACCAAATCAGCAAGCCCATTGTGAGCACTGGTGACTAGGAGGATGGTGATACCTCCCATAGTAATAGGGAACTTAAGGAGAGGGGAAAAATAATGAGTTCTGTTTTGGACATGTTGAGATTGACATGCCTACAAGACAGCCAGTTAGAAATGTCTAGTATTAAGTTGAAAATGCATGATTGGAGCTCAGGAGATTAGAGCTGGGAATCATCTTCATAGAGATGGCAATAAGAGCTCATGCAGTCACCAAATGAGATAACACACAGGAAGAAGAGAGGAGAGCCCAGGAGAGAGCACTAGGGAACACCCATGGTTAGTAGAAATAACCTGGATAAAGATCCAGCAAAAGAAACTGAGGGGCAGGCTATAAAACTGTGCATACCCTTTAATCCAACAATACTACTACTAGGTCTGTATCCCAAAGAGATCATAAAAAATGAAAAAGGACCTACATGTACAAAAATATAACAGTTCTTTTTGTGGTGGCAAAGAATTGGAAATTTCTGGAATACCCATCAGTTGAGGAATGGCTGAACAAGTTGTTGTTGTTGTATGAATGTAATGGAATACTACTGTGCTATAAGAAATGATGAGCAGGCAGATTTTAGAAAAACCTGGAAAGACTGATGTGAACTGATGCTGAGTGAAATGAGTAGAACCAGGAGAAAATTATACACAGTAACAGCAACATTGTGTGATGATCAACTTTGATAGACTTAGCTCTTCCAGCAATGCAATGATCTAAAACAATTCCAAAAGACTCATGGTGGGGACAGCTAGGTGGCACAGTGGATAGAGCACCGGCCCTGAAGTCAGGAGGACCGAGTTCAAATTTGGCCTCAGACCAAACACTTGACACTTACTAGCTGTGTGACCCTGGGCAAGTCACTTAACCCCAATTGCTTTAAAAAAAAAAAAAGACTCATGATGGAAAAGGCTATCTACATCCAGAGAAAGGACTATGGAGTCTGAATGCAGATTAAAGCTTTCTCTCTCTCTCTCTCTCTCTCTCTCTCTCTCTGTTTTTTCTTTCTCATCGTTTTTCTCTTTTGTTCTTATTCTTCTTTCACAACATGACTAATGTGGAAATATGTTTAATATGATTGTACATGTAAAGCCTATATCAGATTGCTTGCCATCTTGGAGAGGGGCAAGGGGAGGGAAAGAGGCAGAAAAAATAATTTAGAACTCAGAATCTTACAAAAGTGAATGTTGAAAACTAAAAAAAAAAAAAGAAAGAAAATCAATTAATTAATTTTAAAAAAAGCGAAGGGCAGATAGAGTCAGGAGAGAGAGCATTATCCTGAAAACTACCTTTTCTGAGAATTAGGGAAGAGCAAAGGGATGGGGAAGATTTCTAAGTGATTTTAGATGAGGGAGAGGAGAAAGAGCAAAGGGCCTCACTTTCTGAGGTGAGATGTTTGGCAAGTTTCACAGATAAGAGCGAGGAAGAGTGTTGTAGGTGCCTCAAGAAAGAGTGAAAAGGTTTGAAATCGCTGCTGTAAGTGAGATTCTGCATGAATGAAGAAGGCACAGGATCGCCCTGTTGCAGGTAGAGCCCAGCTGAGGTTAGACAACATTTTGTACTGGATCATAACAGCCAGGTTTTGTGATTTTCTTCAGCTCCATTCTACAACATGTTCATCAAAACCAAGGAGGCAGTGTGATCCATAATGAGTAACCCAAGGTCAAGATTTGTCAACAAATCATTGGCAGGAGGAAAGATGTTGAAGTGTAGAGAACAATGTAGAGGTCAGCTAATTTACCATTGGATCATTAACAAAATAAGGAGAGTGTAGCAGAGGTGATGGCCTGGAAAAGATCTGGAGGTTGAGGGAATTAGAGGTCATGGGGAAAATGAAGAACAGGATTAGAGGTCATAAAGCATAGGCAATGACTGAATAACAAAAGATTACGACCAAGAAGGGAGTTGTAGAATTCTTGAATGTGAAAGTGGAACCTTTTGTGGGTGTGATCATCATGTCTGCAGCTGAGGTAGAATGTAGGATTAGGTCAGGGGATTTTAATAAATGAGACTTTGACCTTATAGATCATTTCTGTTGGCATCTGGAACATAGAGTTCCTGCCCTCAAGGAGTTCATCTCATGTTCTAGGCAGCTGGGTGGCACAACTGATATAGCACTAGGCCTGGAGTCAGGAAGACCTGAGTTCAAATCCAGCCTCACACTAACTGTATGACCCTGGAAACTTAACCTCCATCTTCCTCAGTTTTCTCAACTGTAAAATAGTACCTATCTCACAGAATTGTTGTAAGAATCAAATGAGATAATATATATATGTGTGTGTGTATATATATATATGTATATATATATATACACATACACATATATATATTACAAATATTAAGACTAGGCACACTGCCTAGTGCATAGTAGGTGCTATGTAAATGCTTATTGCCTTCCCTTCCCCTAATAAAACATAAATAGCTACATTATGGAGTACTTTAGTGGGAAAGCATTTTCTTTAAGGTGAAACATCCCTTTAGTGAATTGAGAAAGATTTTTATATGGACTTGTTTTATCAGAGAAGTTCTTTTCAATTTCATTGTAATAGCTAACAACTTTGGCCTGACCATTAATATAAAGACAAGACACTTTCCTATTATAGGAACCCATGCAGCTTAGTCTTATCTTCCCATCTCTTAGAAACCAAAGGCAAAGCTAATGGGCTTCCCAGTTTCACAGTGATTATTGAAGTGGGTGGTTCAAGAGATCATATGAATTGGAGCTAGAAAATACCTTTGAGGTCTCACCTAGCAAACTAACGCCCAAAGAAATTGAGTGAACGACACGAGGTCACACAGCTATAATTAATAACATGAGATCTGAAGCCAAGTTAAATCCCCTGATTCAGGGTCTAGTCCTCTTCCCACAGCTCATTTTACAAATGAGCCCTCATCTGTAACAAAAGAAGGAGCAGAGGTGAAGGGGCTGGGGAAGAAGAGTGTGTAGGGCGTCTGGGGTCCAGCTCGATGGGTGTGATCCTAGGTTCCTACAATATGTTGTCTCCACGACATTGACTTGGCACAGCTTCCATGCGTGTGCTGTTGACTCTGTACTGCCCAATCTCATAAGTGCCACCTTTTCCAACTATTCAGAGACCAAAAAACAATTTCAGCTCCTATTAGAAACGTATAAGGGGGAAAGCAGTCGATATAAACATTTCATGTAGAAATTATCTCGGGCGGGAAGGATATACTGCTGTTGTTCAGACAGGAGGTAAGACTGAAGAGGGCGTTCCCATGTTTGTCAGTACTATATCACATAATGTTAGTGCGTGTACTGCTGTGTGGTCTGCCTGAACTAGTTGTTGCAAGAGAACTATAGCATCATCTAGTATTAAAGCAGCATTTCAGTGGCATCCTGTGTACCCATAAGCACCCCCTGTGTTTTTTTTAATGAGCCTACATTGATGCATAATGAAAATTGGCTTTTCATTTGTGATTAATAATACTGATTATTTAGCCTTCTGACTAATAAGCACAAATAAACTGCATCAGATTCGGGATTGTGAACTATATTTTGCTATCTTATCGTAGCCATACTTAAGGAGGAAAAGAGTAAGAATAATGCAGAAGTAAATTCTGATTGCTTCAGGATGAGGAAATCACTTGCCCTCTCTGGAACTCAGTTTTCTCACCTGTAAGATGAGAGGCTTGAACCAGATAATCTCAATGACCTCATTGGGGCATAAAATTTTAGGATCCTCTAAGAGGTGTTATTACATATTAGTATATCCTAGAAACAGAGAATAAATGCTCAAAGAGCTTTAAAA